TATAAGTCTATTCCCCAGCCAGATTTAAGCTGTGATTAGTCTGAAACAGTATTTGATTGGGGAATGTTTGATTTCCTGTCACACGCTGGTGTCATCCTGCTTAAGCAAATGCAGAGGGAAACCCAAATCAGACCGCTCTGCCACTCCCAGCTAAACTGAAGGACAGAGCTAAGATCTTAAAATCTTCACGTGCATGACACATAAGCAAAGAAAAAGAAAATTAAGGATACAAATGACGATTTATGTTCTTTTTAGGACGACTGACATCGGAGAAGGCTCTGGGCAACTCTGGAGCAGAAATGCAGAAAGAACCCAGATGTGATAAAAAGGGGTTGGTTGGACTACTAAGGGCCCCTCCCGGAAAATAAACAAACACGTTTCGTTCTAATAGTTTAGCTGCTTTTACAGCAAGATACAGAATACAAATTCAACCCATTAAGAGTTTAGGACCATTTGTGATGAAACTGAGACAGAAAGACCCGGGGTCATAAATGAGCTCTAGAGATGAAGGTCTTTACTGTTTCTGAGAACTTGAAATAATGTTTCAATTAAAAGTATGAATTGTTAGAGAAGTTAAGAGTATTCTAGCTGAACAGATTATGTGAACATCAAAATCTTACAGATTTAAATTCTATCTCCCACTTTCAGTGTTTTTGAGCTATTTTACGCTTGAAGCAAGTCAGCTGAAAAACTAATTTATATCGTATTTTACATTTTATTGTTATAATGTATCATGTTAACATTTGGGGAAGAGAGAATTAGCAGACAGAGTGATTAGTGTAAAATATATTTTAAAGTAAATTTAAACTGATTGAAGCAGGAAGAAAACGGTGACTAAAATATATATTAGGTGTTGATGAAAAGACATGTATCATAGTCACTAGATATTTTTGGCCTGCAGTGATCAGTGATCGAATTTTGGTGTATTCCACTGGAAGTAGAGGCAAGAGTAGGAAAATTTTTAAAAGTAAAAAGAATTCTGACATTAAGAAAAACTTATATTAGCTTTTACCAGCTTCCAAAACAGCACGTTAAAAAGATTTTTCATGACCTATCATAACTATTACAATGATTGTTTATGCAGTGGTATCATTTAGGATAGAATTCTAGGACAGAAACTACGATCAATCTGTTTTCACCTCAGCTAGAGGTTCTAGTCATCAAGTTGCCTCCATTCCTATGAGTCCTAAACACTTTCTCTATCACTCTCTCCACTTTCTTTTTAACTTCCCACAAGTTTTTCCTAAACTCCAGCTCCAAGATATATATGTGGCCTCTTTTGGAGTCTCCAAGCACCCCACATTCAAGTTATTTCTTACTCCATGGGTTTTACAGGGGTGAACGTAACCAAATGTCACTTTATTCACCATATTGCATAAATTAATTCTTAGTTTGGAAGTGAAAGTACCTCTAATTTATTAGGTTTTTGGTTTTTTTTTTTTAATGGTAAGCTATCACAAGATGGTAATGTAAGAATCGAGAATTAACACCAACACATGAATAAGTTATTGGTTATTATACAGCATGAAAACTGGTTCTGAAAATGAGACAACTACTCAAATGCTCTATTTGAGGAATATGTGAAAGTAAATTTGAAAATTAGAAAGTAAAAGCTTATGGGAAATTATTTTAAAAGTAACCTTGGCATATAGAACCAAGCTCCCTTTACTTTAGTATGTTAAAGAAAGTAGAGACCCAAATTCTTTAATATACCTAGGGAAATAGGGCAGAGTTAAACTAAGAAACAATGAGATATGGAATAGGCTGAGCCCAGGAGTTGTTATCATGGTCTGAATGATGACCCCAGAAAGATGTGTCCATGTCCTAAGCGCAGAACTGGGAACGTGACCTTATTTTGAAAAAGGGTCTTTACAGATTAAGTTAAGGATTTTGAACTGGGGACACCACCCTGGATTATCTGGGTTAGCCCTATACCCAATGACAAGCGTTCTTATAAAAGAAAGGCAGAGGAAGATTTGAGACAGACAGAAGAGGCGGCGGCAACGGGACGAGAGTCAGAGACTGGGATGATGTGGCCACACATCACGGAGTGCCGACAGCCACCAGAAGTTGCAAGAGACAAAGAAGGGATTCTTCTCTGGAGCCTCCAGAGGGAGTGGAAGCCAGCAAACACCTCGATTTCTGACACTGAGCCTGCGGAACGGGACAGAATAATTTCTATTGTTTTAAACCACTGAATTTGAGGTGCTTTGTTACAGCAGCCACAGGACCGTAATACAATTACTTGAATCAGTGCTCTCCCAACAATAAAGAGGTATGGATTTTCAGTGGATCTCAAATTAAAAGAGATATTATACATAAAAGTTAAAATCCTTATTGCTTATTCCACAGGAATAAATGGTGAAGAAGGTACCCTGTTGACTTGCAGACTTGCAGTACTAATGAGATTCTAGAAGAACCTAAAAAGACAAGTGATAAACAGAAATTGTAGCAATACTGATCGAAATGTTTTCCTGTCTCAAAGATGCATATGAAAATAAAGTAGTGAAATTAGGAAAGAACAGATGTTTACCTAGAATCGAAAGGAACATCCAAGTGCACTTGTTGGGAGCAGGTTTACCTGCCAAGCACAGATCACGAACTTAATGGACCTACTTGTCTTCAGCTGTAAAATTCTATGCATAAGGAAATACCCTGTCTCACAACTATTCCAAACCATTTCTTCTTTAAACCTAAAATTTAAAAGCATTAAATGTCATTGAAAAAAAGAATTCTAATTTGAAAATATTCCTACAACGTATATAATTTAACCGTGAACTTCCTTTCATTCAGAAACATATGTCCTCAAATTACTGAAACTTCTTCAGAAGTAAGTCAACATTATTCTATATAGAACAGACAAGAGGCTCATCACTGGCCTTACAATGAACGCTGATAAACAACTCAATTAAAAAAAAGCCCCCTAGCAAAATCAGAAAAACAAGCTAAAATTTTAATAGAAACTTTGCAATGACAAAGTCACTGATGAAAATTAAGAAAAAAAAATAAGAGTAAGGTGATAGCATGTCCAGTTTTATAAATCCTTTTCTTTGGGGTTTATATTTGAAAATATAATCTTTTCCTCTACTGATTTAACCTTAAAGGCAACCCATTAGAAATACTTGAAGGTAGCCTTATCTATCTAAGAACCCCAGATTACATAAAAATACCCTCCCAAACTACCCTGCTCTCTGTTACTAACCAGCAAATAACGGCTTGCCCCCAAATAATGCATGGACAAGAAACTCTGGGGTCTACATTTTTTATTAAATGTTCATAACCTGCATTTGATGATCAGTGGGCAATCAGTTCTAGGATTCCTAACAAACTTCATTAAGGGACCCACATTCACAAAAGTATGTCTGATGCCCTCAAGTATAATTCAAAATTTTATCTAACGTGGGTCCCACTGATGAAGTTTGTTAGGACTCCTCGAACTGACTGCCCAATCATCAACTGATTGTTATTTTTTAAAACCATGTGCTGAGAACTCAAAAATAAATTGAAGGTTTATACTGAACAGGGTATGGGGTAAGATACACAATTTCAGAAACAATGTGAAATTTTACAATCATTTTTTAAAATAAGAAACTTGCTAAACACAAAGTATTTCAATGGTATATTGTACATTATATCTCACGGAACATGTTATATTCTTTCAACAAAAATAAAATACCCCAGCACAGGTAGAATTATTTTTCTAAGAGGTAACTGACTTAATATGTTCTGAGTCTGTATGCTAGCTTTGGCCAGCTGTCAAATGATGAGAAATTAAATATTTAATCATGACAAAACCATACATTGAGATAAACGTTAAAAGCATAGGGGGGAATGATTGGTCTAATTAGCGAAAATTTTAAATGAGGCCCATTTTAAAGGTCAATTATCAGGAAATCACTTTCTGGAAGAGCGATCTTTCTTTCTCCCCTAGTCACATTCACTGGTTTAAATGGAGACCCTGGCTTCTCCTAATTCCCTTCCCCCAAATAACCTCCAATAGGGGCAATCTCATGTCATCAGAGAGCAACAGCAGTGCAAAGTCAAAACAGCAGCTGGTTGACAACAGGGTGAAAACAGCTGCTCTAGGGGGGAAAAAAAAGACAATTGCAAAAAGACAAAACAATGGCATCCCGTTCCCTCTAGGGCACCCCAACCAAGAAAAAAGAAACAAGGAGGACTAACTGAATCTAAGGAATAACCAAGAATCAACAGGCTCTTTTTTCGAATTGGGAAGTAAAGAGAAAACTCACAATAGTTATTTTTGTATAAGAGAACTAAACAAAGTTAAGAGGCCCTTCTACCTTTGTTAGTTTTAGAAATTTAGTCTACAAATCCAATCTCTATAGAAAAACACAGACAGTAATCAGATAAAAGATTAGCCACATATTTAAGCCTAGTCCAAGTCGGTAAGAATTTTATCTACGGTAAGGCTTCTGCAGTAACAAGTGTATTCCTCTCCTCGCCCTGCTTTCACTTACACGGCGGGAAGAATGCAAAACGAAGTTGCACTTCTTGTCCAAATAGTAACAATCTGTTCCAAGAGAACGTCTCCGATTTTTAAAAGCATACGTTTGAGTTCCAGCATTACCACCGTCTTAGCCAAACGCCAACACCTGTCAGCTGCCTGCCCTACTTAACCATTCATCCGCACCAAGCACGAGGCGGGCACGTACAGAAGAGGGGGAGAGGGCGCGGGGGACCCACTCGTGGCCTCAGGGCACTGTCGCCACAGCTTCCTAGCGACCTAGCGGCATGTGCAAGGGAGCGGCGGGCCAGACCCTAAGGGAAGAACGTGAAACGACTTCCGAGGTGGGAGGACGGGGCGACGGCACACGTTCTCGGGGCGGACCTGCCCTGCAGGGCGTCACGATCCTCGAGCACCCGGCGGGGCTGGCTGGTTCCGAGCTGGGAGCACCGCCTGCGGCCCCGCGGGGCCCACGTGGAGAGAGAGAGGGCCGGCAGGTGCGGCGGGCGGGCGCGGGGGGCGGGCAGAGCCTCACCTGCACCCCGGTGTAGTTCTCGAAGAAGAAGAGCACCATGCTCTGATAGATGCAGTAGAGCCGGTCGTCCACCGCCTGGTAGAAGCGGGAGGGCAGGAAGGCGGAGAGCAGCCGCCAGGCCCCCCAGGCCAGCACGTAGGTGGGGGCCGTGCCCAGCAGCACCGCGGCCGGCACCACGCAGCGCATGGAGTACATGTGGAGCACCAGGGACAGCAGCATCTTCCCCACGAGGCGCGCGGAGGGTCCGGCCGGCTCCTCCCCACCCGGGCCGCCTCCCGGCCGCCCCGCGGCCCTCGGCCGGCGGCCAATCGCCGCGCCAGGCCCGGCCCTGCCGCCGCCCCCTCACCTCCCCGGGCCGCCGGCCGCACCTGAGACGCCCGCTCCGGCTTCCGCCCCCAGCAGCATGGGCCGCGCCGACGCCGAAGGGTGAGTGGGCGGGCGGGCTGACGAGCGCGGGGTCCCGAGCGCTGCTAGCGGCCTCGGGGAAAGCGGACGCCGCGGCCCTTGGGGGCTCGGGAGTTCAGGAGCGCTCACACCCCATGACCCTCGCCCGTCACTCTCTGCCCCTGTCGGGGGCGGGGCTCCACATCAACAACACGCCTTCCGATTGGCCGCTCGTTTCCATAGTTTCCTCTTCGGGGGCGGGGCCCCCTCGCCAATAATACGTCCCCTGATGGGTCGAGTGCGACTACGGTTGAGGCGCAACTGCTGTCGGGACGCGCGGACGCCTGTCTTTGCCTTCTGCGCATGCTCCGAAGTTCAGCCCTGGTGTGGACGCGGGAAAAGAAGTGGAGAGTAGGGTGCTAAGCCAGGTGAAGGTGGGTGCCGCTTGGAGGAGAGCGCCGCCAGCCGTCTGCCCCCTCGTCGGGCTCTGGCACGGGTTGGCTTGAGGCACGCCCCCCTCCAGCTTGCACACTCTGTGGGCCCCTGGCCCGGAGATGCGCATTAAGCGGAGACGTCCCCTTCCGCGCGCTGCTGCACGTTCTGCGGAGGTGCCGTCCGCGGCTGAGAGGACTCGTGCGCCCGACGGGCGTTTGTCCCGCTTCCTGATCGGAGCAGTTAGAACAGGCTGAGACCAGCGCTGTCGTCCGCCCAAGGCCAGGCCGAGCGGGATGGCCGCCTTCCGGGTCAAGGCCGCCCCACCCCTTCACCTGCCTGCCTCGTCCCGGCCCCCAGCCGGCGTCCACGACGCTTCCTGCCCGTCGCTCGCCGCGTGGGTGGCCCAGAGTTAGGCCCCTTCGTTCCTCCCGGGCAGCTCTCCCTCCTACAAGGCGCTTTCCACACTGTTAACTTTATTAGGCATTTCCAAATTCCTTCTTGCTTCCCTTCCCCGGCGCCTGGCTCTTTGACTCGCTTCTGGTGGTTTATAAGGAGCCTCATTTTCCAGGGTAGAACGTGAAGTACTTCGCATGTACATGTGGGCGACATAAGGCGCTGGCGGACTTCGTGACCCTCACAGAACTCCAGGCCGGCAGGCAGGGCCGCTGTTTTATTGATGTAAAAACAGATCCAGAGGCTTTCTGGACCCTTCTACTGAAATGTGGTTTACCGTGTAGCACTTTTCCGAGAGCGTTGCACCTGAAAAGAATGCCAAATGCTTTATTTTAAAGATTTTTATTGGGGAATTGGGGGATGGGAACAGCGCTGGGGAATTGGG